GCTTATTGGTTTTGTAATTGCTAAAATACTTTCAACATCTTCCCAGAGCTCTTCACTTCTTATGGTGTCAACAATTGTGGCTCCAGTAACTCTAGTGTTTTCATTTACATTTTTTACCTAATCTCTCCAAGAATTTAAGGCAATGATTGTAGCAAGAGCCTCTATAAAATCCATTAAACTTTTCAATAAAATGTAATGGGACGCAAATCTTGTCTTGGCCACTCATAACAATTCTAACTGTGAGTTGTCTCTAAAAATGGTCAAAGCTTGATTGTGGTTTAGGAAATAGTTAACAATCACTTTTCCTCTCCTATATGTGTTGAACAACCAATAAAACTCTTTGGCAAGGTCTTTAAAAATCAAGTTTAATGTATGAACACAACAAGGAGACCAGAAAATGTGCTTGTGTACCTTTTCAATTTCCCTTCCAGCAGCTTTGCAATTCGCTACATTATCTGTAACAACTTGAAGGGCATTGTTTGGTCCTACTTTTTCAATAGCACTAAGCAAGTATTCTGCTATCGCCACACCTATTTTTTCCAGACCAGAGAAATCCTCTGCATACATGAACATTGCCCCACGACTGTTCACTGCAAGAACATTAATAAGAGGTTTGTGTTTCATATTTGTCCACCCATCGGATACAATGGAAATACCTTGGGAATACCATGTGTCCTTGATTGGAGTTAAATCTTTTTCAACATCTCTGCGGCATTCATCAAGCAAAACAGTCCTTGCTTTTTCACTTGATGGTGGTTTGTAACCAGAGGGTGCTTTGTTGATTGCTCTAACCATCTCAAGAAATTGCGAATTTCCTAAAATATTGAAAGGAATGCCATTAGCACATAATCCTCTCATAATCTTCAGGTCCACCATGTTTCTTTCCATTTTGCCAAATGATTCTTCAATGAGTTTCTTAGGCAGTGTTAGTTTTTTGTCTGCAGATCTACATGGCCTCTTCTGTCTACGCCGCGCAGACCACGCGCAGACATTATCCTTTGCAGACTGTTTGTTTTTTGAAGACTGTTGACCTAAAAATGTCTGCGCGCTCTCTTCTTGACGCAAATGTGGACCAGAGTCTTCTAACATCTTCTAGCCTAAAAAATATATATATCTTAATTTTTTTAAAGTTTTATTTTTTAATTTATAATTTTTCTAACTTTATTAATGATAAACAATTTGAAAATATTTTTACAAAACTTAAAAAAAAGCGTTCGACGATACAAACATGATATTTTTGACACATTTATAAATAAAGATTTATTACAATAATAGTCGTTGAAGTTGTTTATATAAATATGAAAAAAAAATCATAATATATTCTTTTTTTTTTTTTGCCAAATTTTATAAAACATTATTTAATACAATATCGTCAATTTCTCGAGAAAATATTTATGGTATGTTTTTAATGAATTTAATTGAAAAAATCGAAGTTTATTTCCATCCATTTATGTATCAAATTCTTTGATCACTAATTATAATGTTTAGTTATAACTTTGCAACCAAAGTTGTTGGTTTTTATCAAATGTATACGTTAATTCACACAATTTTTTATTTTATTTTTTGTACAATAGTACATAAAAGTTGACCTCGATTCGTTAATTATTTATAACAAAGTCATAAAAATATTAAAAAGTCACTTTGAAGTTTCAAAAAATCAGTTTATTTAGATTTCAGTTTATTTTAGTAGCCCACAAATGTTAAAAAACAAACAGTCTTTTTTTTTTGGTCCACCTCTTCTACTGCAGAGGTCTACATATGTGGTCCGCAGACTGCAGACATTTTGTCTAAGAAAAAACAAACAACACCTTTGACAAAGAAGAAGATGCAGTCTTGTTACTGAATACATAACTTTTCAAAGCACGAGAAACACCTACCTTTTCAGCAACTTTCAATTTATTCATCAACCTTTGATACTTCTCCCGATCTTTTAATATTGCACTGCACCTTTTAATCTGTGCTTTTTTCCCATCAGTAGCACCAAAAAAGTGAACATAAATTCTGGTGTAAGAACTTGTAAACTTTTGCTTGCAATGCTCAGATTCCCAAACCTTTGAACCCCTTGCATTTTTGCTATCTGCAGATTTAGTTATGGTGACTTCTTGCATAAGTGGTTTGTCATCATTCATTTCTTTGTTATGAACTTCATTTTATCCTCTACAAATGTGTCTTCTTCGATGCTATCTTCATTCTCAGACAACACAATGTGGTCTGTTGTAGCATGTGCATTGTTTTGAGCAGAAGTAGACCCCCTTTTACCAAAAGCCATTATTACAATAATAGAGTATTATGTTACTGTAAAGAGAGAATGAAGAAAATTGTGTATTGGTGTTATTGTGAAAGAGAAGAGTGAATTGTGAAGTTTATCGTGGGTGTAATGTTGTATATATAAGTATAGGAATTCACACTATTATGATTTATGAAATCAATTAAATCAATGTGAAATCATATAATTGATCCACCGATATCAATTAAATCAATTACAGAATGTGAGAATAGCTACTTAAATAAAAAAAACATAATCAATTGAAAATCCATCGTATCACATAAATAGAAAAAATCGGGATGTCAATTATACCAGTTGGAGACCCAATTGATTTCCTTCTCGTACCAACGATCGATCCCAATACACCAATTCGCGCTCCCAATTTCATCAATTCGTGTTCCATCGACGATTAATTCGCGATCATATTGAAGCAGATACTGTAACACCGTAAATTTTCAAACCAAAATTTTCAATTCAAAATTTACAAACATCAGATATAATAACTTTCAAAATCTGAAGTGTCGATTTCAATCGAGTCGCCGCCTTCCCCACAATCCTGATAAGAACCTGAAACACATAACATATAACACGGTAAGCACGAAGCTTAGTGAGTTCCTCAAAATACCACATACACATACTAGCCACTCGAGGCTATAACTCTGTAGGACCCTCCGGTCCAATGTGTCTCAGCAGGACCCTCCAGTCCCATAGCTCGTTGGACCCTCTAGTCTGGTCTAGCTTGTTGGACCCTCCAGTTCGGTCTGGTTGAGGACCCTCTGGCCTCATAAATCGTTGGACCCTCTGGTCTGGTCTGTAGAACTCTGCATGGCATAAGTCACAAAGAAATATTGCACAACATAAAACATAAGGCAGGATAACATAATACTCAATGTAAATACATAAGACCTTCCGGTCACACATAAATACCACTCAAGGTAAAGTATAGTGAGAAGACTCACATCGGATGAAGAATGGCTCCTATAACTGCTGTCACTGCACACCAGCCTCTAACATTGTGCCAAACCTACAGTTAACTCAATTAGGATATAAGACCATACCTTTACTCATCAGGTTTGAAAAAGGGTCCACCAACTCGGTCCACAAATAACCCAAACCCATTGGGCCCAACGAAGCCCAAAACTAAGTGGGCCCACCCAAGGCCCAACTCGTAACTCAAGTCAAGAAGGCAAACCCAACACAAGGGCCCACTAATAGCCCAATCTTCCCAATTGGGCCCAACCTTAAATGGACCTAACCCTCAAGCCCAATAATCCTTTACTAAATCCCAGGAGGGTGAAAAGACCATTTTGCCCCTTAATATTCACATTTGCTCGAAACACTAAAAAGTCACTGAAAGTCAGCACTTGCCACGTACACTGGGCGTACGTCTTTCTACGTTGGGCGTACGCTTAGCCATGCACGCAACGGGGCGACTCGGTGCTACGTTGAGTGTAGCTGGGAGTACATTCGGCGTACGTCCCAGACTTGCTTATCCCACTCAAGTGGTCTTAACCCGTTAAGACAAAGGTTACCATCTCAGATCTCGATCAAATGAAGTCTCTTATAACATAAAGTTGGTGACTTTAAGCTCTATCAAGGCTGAACAAGTCAAGATCTCATAAACTCTCACTTTTTCCATCATAAAATCCACATATCTCATATATTGGGAGATCTTGACCACCAAGACTCCATTTTTATGAACTTATACCATCTAAAGACATCAAAGGGGATAAGTACAAGGTTCTTGGGTTGACCAACTCAAAAAGCTTCAAGCTTTGGGGACATAAACCCTAAAATGGACCATTAAATGAACCATGCAAAAGAAGAGAAAACTTTTGAGCTTGATACCTCTGAATGATGCTCCATCCTCCAGTAAACTCAGATCCAAGAGCTCGAATGACAACTCTTCTTCCTTCAAAGTTCTTTCTTCTCAAAAGAATCCCCCAAGATCACTTTATAAACCTCCAATGCTCACATAAGCCAAGAAACAAGATTTAGGGTTTTGTAGGAAGTAAGATGCTAAAATGGTGGATGAACATGAGGGCATATTGTTCCTTAAATAGGGATACTCCAAGACATTAGGGTTTTCTTCCAGGACCTAGTACGTTGGGCGTACTACGTGGCCTTCGCGTTTCTTCCACGCATATGAGTATGCCGAGCGTATACATAATTACGCCCTACATACTCGATTGCCACACATCTCAAAATAAAGACTTAACTTGCCAAATCTTCAAACTTTCATTGCTTCCTCGACATAACCCCGATTCCCATGAACCTCTTACCCTCGGATAGGTGACGAGATGCCCTAAGCTCCTAGCAGCTCGTCACAACCCTGAGAATCCATCATGCCCAGATGTAGCCCATGAACCCTAATCATGGATGATTAGAAACAAAGATGTTACAAATATGAAATCAGGATCGACCAATATGACGATCCAGGTCGCGATCCAATTGCGTTCGGTACGAAAGTGTACCACGAACCGGAACGCACGACCCAAAACGAAAATCAAAGGCAATTTGACGTTCCTGGTAACTATGGAGGAACAGACGAATGCCACAACGACGAAATCCTACCGGCTCCAAACCACTTGGTATTTGAGCCGACTCCAAACTTGTTCCTATTCATAATCCGCAACAGCTTTTAAAATGTATAATAATCACCTTAAAAAAGACACTTATCATCAACTTATCTTCTGTTGCTTTTGGGGTTCCTAGTGTACGTTCTAAAAATATGGGGAGGATTTGTGTAAATTTAACGGAAAGACATTAATCTAACCGTAAAAGCCAATGGGTACCCAGTGTTCAGAATCTCTTCGTATCGGAGTCTGTGAAACCCCAAAAGATAAAGCAAACCTCAATCAAGCCACGACAGCATGACAGAAGACGATTGCGCTAGGGTTTCGATGCCTGACTCCACGCCTGCGTCCGATTCATCCAACACGAAGCAAAGGTGTCAGATTTCCTACATTATAAACCCTAGTTTTATGCATTCTTAATCGTCTAATTTCTCAAAATTTTCCATCAAAAGCTTGTTTTCTTATCTTACTAATAGAATTACATCTAATTCCGATTGTTTATGCTCGTCATTTATCCTAATTGGTAAATTTGTGATAGCGATTTAGGGTTTACATCATGTTTATGGTTTTGCAAATTACTTTTTTTCAGGAAAAAGAGGAAATGGGATCAGCCAGCTGAGTCCTTGGTGACAGCCGGAGTAGCAGTCCCTGGAGTCCTTCCTTTGCTCAACATGGGATCATTTGTTGGGATCACACATCCTGGTGTTCCTCCAGCTTCTGGCGCTTCTTTGATAAATCCTCTTACTTCTAGTTATGGACATTTACAGCAGCTTTTTCCAGCACCCTCAATGCAGCAGCATGCTACTGCATTGGCCCAAAAGATTCAAGTAAGATACCATGGAGACATTTGATTTTTGTTCTTTTTGTCATTAACTGCACATCCTTCTTGTAGCCAAAGATTCAAGAGGAGTTAATAGCTAGAGAAATTGTCATAAATGATGCAGAGTCTTCCATACGTTACAAGCTTACAAAACGCCAAACGCAAGAAGAGGTGAATTAAACTCCACATTCTTCTATCTCTTTAGTTATTAATGTCCAAGAAAGCAGCTGAGATACACATAAGACATGTTGTTTTTTGGGGTAGAAGTGAATTTTAAAGTTTGTTGCTTAACATTAATAGGGTGTTGGTGTTCTAACTTTTGCAGATTCAGAAATGCACTGGTGCCATAGTGATAACTAGGCAAGTAGCTCACCTCAGATCTCATGCCTTTTTCCTTATTGTTGCTTTATAAAGATACTGAAGGAATTCTGTAGGGGTAAATATCGTCCTCCAAACGCACCTTCTGATGGTGAAAAACCATTATATCTTCATGTTTCAGCTGGCACCCATGTAAGTTTCTTTGTGCTTTCTGTATCAAAGAATTCATACATTTAACCTATGATGATAACTCTGATGAAAACATGTAAAAAATACTTATTTTCTTTTCTGCTGTAGTTGGAAACAACAGCAGACAGGATAAAAGCAGTTGATCAAGCAGCTGCCATGATAGAGGAAATCATGAAGCAAGGTGTTTTAACCAATGGATTGAAGGTGAAAAATGTGAAATGCCAATTAATCAAATTTTGAAATTTTCCCAAATTATAACATTCGGAAACTTTTAATTTTGATCAGGTGGTTCACCCTTTTAGCACATGTGTGTTCTTGGGCTTTGAACCAGATCCATCTTTGAACATTATTGCCCGTATTCGTGGACCAAATGTGAGCTTCTCTCTCTCTCTCTCTCTCTCTCTCTCTCTCTCTCTCTCTCACACACACACACACACACACACACACAGTATAGGATTAATATCAAGGAATGAGAACCAAGTATCCATTTTTTTCTACTCTAGATCAATAAACTTGTAATCCATTTTTTTGAATGTGTTGAGTGTAATTTAATAATGTTAGCATTACTGATGAAGATGAAAGATTCTAATTTCTAAGCTTTCCCTAACATCTCCATACGATTGGGGGAGTTCTTTTTGTGTTGCTTGTGGTTGGGTTTTGAAAATGCAGGATCAGTATGTAAATCACATTATGAATGAAACAGGATCAACAGTTTTACTAAAAGGGCGTGGTTCAGGAAACCCTGGAATTTCTAATTCCGAAGGTAGTAGTATATTATGTAACTCTATATATGTTGATTGTGTAATATCTTTTTGTGTTTCTACTTTTTAAATTGTAAATTTCGTATTTTTTGCTTGCAGAACAACAATCACTACATCTTTTTTTGTCAAGTAGTAATCCAAAAAGCCTTGAACATGCAAAGCTTCTGGCTGAGAATCTTCTGGATACAATATGTGCAGAATGTGGTGCCTCTAGGTAACATTCCATCATGTATTCATGTATTTGGATTTTGGTGGAATTGGAATTCGTGATTCCATTCCGTGGTGTGTTTGGTTGCCAAATGGAAGGACTTTAGTTTAGTTGGAATCTTGGATTCCATAGTTGATGGATTCTTCCATTCCTAAGGGAGGGTGGAAGGAGTTTAATTTCATTCTTCTTTTTTGTCAAAAGACCAAAATACCCTCATGTATAATGACATAAAAGCCCTTAAGTTTGGTAGAAATGTTCAGTTTTACCTTTTTGCATATTTCTGGTTCATTAAAGCCGGAGGTTTGAATTTTATTTAATTTTATTTTTTAATTTTGATTTTAATTTTTTGAATTTTACCCTTTTTGAAGGTTTACCCGGTAAAACCAAACATGTCTGCCTAACTTAAGGGATTTAATGAGCCAGAATTACTCAAAAGGGTAAAATTGGAAAAAAATTGCAAACTTGCGGCTTTTAATGAACCAAACATTTCTGCCAAACCTAAGGGCTTTAATGAACTAGAAATACGCAAAAGGGTAAAATTGGAATTTTTTTTTGCAAACTTCCGGCTTTAATGAACCAGAATTATTCAAAAAGGTAAAATTGGAAGAAAAAAAATTGCGAATTTCTGGCTTTAATGAACCAGAAATACTTAAAAGGATAAAACTGAACGTTTCTGCCAAACTTAAGGGCTTTAATGAACCAGAAATACGCAATAGGGTAAAATTGGAAAAAAAAAAAAAAAAAAAGGTGCAGACTTCCGGCTTTAATGGATATCAAAAGGGTAAAATTGGGAAAAAAAAAGTTGCAAACTTCCAGCTTTAATGAACCAGAAATACGCAAAAGGATAAAACCAAACATTTCTGCCAAACTTAAGGCCAATTATGGCATTAGGCCTTTTCACAATTCATAGGATTCTTCTCTTTTTACTAAAAGACCAAAATACCCTTGTGTTATATATATATATATATATATATATATATATATATATATACACACAAAAAGGAGTTATTTCTGATCACACCATTTTGCTTTCGTAGGGTATCATCATGTAAGGTTTATGGTGCTGTTCCACCACCTCCGCCATTGTTGACCAGAGTCCAGAGTGAGTTAGAATCAGCTTCTTCTGTTACTACTACCCCTGAGGGCAAAACAGTCATTTCACATATAACTCCTCCTCCACCACCTCCTCCTGGTACGAGCTACAATGGGTATGGTGGGATATACCCACAAGCTACCCCTTTGCAACAAGTTGCCTTAGCCCTTAAGCAATCTACATCTCCCATTATATCTGGAAATGCAAATTTAGAGATGGAAAAAGAAAAACGATCCCCTCACACTCACACTCACACTCACAAACGCAAGTTTCAAGAACTGCCCGTCACTGCTCTCGGGCAGCCCGGGCAGCAGCTCAAAACACACCAGGTATCTCTGCCCTGTGCTCTAGTGACTAGTCTCAACCCTTAATTATCTTTATTGGTGATTATTATTTGGTGTCTAAAGCAAAAAAGAAAAATAATTTAAAAGAAAAAAAAAACACCGAAAGAGTCGATTGGCACATGGCAGGTTTTTGTTTTTTCTATTTAATAAAGTTTTTATCCATATAAAAATTAGAGTTCATTTTTATTTATAAAAAAAAATACACCCAATTTGTGATTTTTTTTTCCACTATAGACCACCATTAACATATTTTCATATAATTCGTAATTTTAGTTTTTATTTTTTGGGTTGCGCTTATATCTAAAAATATATACTTTCGTTTGTTTTGCAATGAAATATTTTGTAGTTTTTTATGATCTTAGTTAGAATAAAACTTAATTTACAAATAATATAATTTTTTTTATCCGACTCTTAAAAAGAATTAGATAATGATAAAACAGAAACACGTTACTTAAAAGTCAGATAATCACTTTTTAAAAAAGAAAAAAGGATAATTTCTTTGATTAATTAATTAGTTAATTAATTCTTTACATTATATTTTGGTGTTCTGACTTTTATTACTTAATATTACAGGTATTTTCTCTGACCTTACAGCTGATACTGGACCTGTCTGTTGGACATTTGTATTTTCACAGGGTTTTTAACGCAAGCTGGTGCTGATGTGGTGCTTTTTGACTGGGACCCGGACCCACTCTGCAGTCATTCCAAGTTTAATTACTTTCGAGGGCTAATTTCGTCTTTTTTTGACTTTTGACTTTTATATATTGTGTGGTTATAATTTGTTTCAGGCATCGGGAATCTTGAAGCAAAGTAAAGTGAAATCTGAGAGTAGGACAAGGATGGAAATGGAATCATCTATTCCGGTTCTGGTGACCAATGGAATGATGCCACCTCCTCCACGACCCCCAAAATTTAATTCAACAGCAAAGGTGGTCGAGGGCAATATCGTAAAAACGCCAGAAACCAAATCCGTACCTGGTAAGTTTACAAACTCAATAATTGATGTGTACTTTGAATATATTTTTTTCTTATGTTATTTTTTTTATTATTTTTAGAAACTTTAATCAGTCTTATGGAATATGGAGATGAAGAAGATGATGACATTGAGGAAACTAATGAAGAATCTCTAACAAATAATTCAAAATCAAAACCTTTTTGGGCAGTGTGAAAACAGGTTAAATGACCATTTTATCCATGGTTTAAATTTGTTGTTTTTCAAGGTAAGTTGCATGTAGAAGGAAAATATAGTTATGGTCGATGTATACTTTCAAATACAATGTAAAAGGGTGATTTCTGATTAATTAAGTTATTACTTGGATATAAGTTTATAACATAGACTTCTAACATAATTGGATTTTAATTTTTAATATATCATATTCCATTTTCGGATAACATCATTCATCCAAGATAGGATATAAGTTCTTGATACTTTAATTCCTTCAAACTCCAGCAGTTCGATAGATTTCATTAGAACTACTCTGTGAACTTGTCGATGTTGTTAGGAATTGGAAGTATTAAAAATATCAAATACAATTTTTGGATGGGATTGTGATAATTTTTTGTCAAGAAAATTTCGACTAATAATTTTTTACATATTATGATCATAAATGGGGTTATCAATTTAGAAGATATGATTTGTACATGTAGAAAGTAGCAGTGCTTCATCTTTCAGCTCCCTTATAAATGGGAATAGTCACACATTTGTAAAAAGACTTTAAAAAGTGGTTATCTTTTTTTCCATCCATGTTATTAACTGATTATATTCACTTGATTGAACAAAAACAGAACACTTCAGTTTTCCAATCAAAACAATGAAAACATCAACACAAGTCACCAAAAAACATCCCCTGTACTATTTCTCCACCGGAAAACCACCACTACCGCCATAATCACCGCCTTTATTCACCACAGGGGTATAATAGTCCAACAGTTTCTAACCACTAGTAGAGTCATATTCACATCTTCACATCTTCACTTATTAGAAGTATTTGCATAATCATCATCATTCTCCTCTACATCATCCTCACCAAAATGGTTCAGACTCTCATCACCACCACCTTCATTGCCGCCAGGTGACACTCCCGCATCACCGCCACCACCACCTAAAACCCCACTGAAAAGATCATTCCTGCCACCAGCATTTTGATTCCCACCGCCATACCCACCTATATTACTGCCGCCACCACCATATCCACCACCCCTATAACCACCCGCTCCTCCATATCCGCCACCACCACCAGCTCCATATCCACCGCCACCAGGGCCGCCATAACCGCCACCAAATGATGGGCGGGGCCTCTCTTGGGCGACACTCACTCTAATCCTTCGACCATCAAGTTCCTAAAACTCATTGCCAACAAAAAGACCTTCAGCCTAATTTACAGATTTGGTCCCTGTAACTTGCAATTTTTTGGTCTATGTCCAAAAAATAACCTTTTTTATATAAAACCTCAAAAAAAAACCAAAACTGTTAAAATGTTTCAATTTTTGACAAAAGCATAATAGAACCATGAAATTGGGACCAAAATTGAAAAGAAAATTCTTTTTTTGATGGAAAGTTAAAAAATGGAAACTACAAGGACCAAAATTTTATAAAACTTAAAGATGCACAATACCTTTCCATCCATATCCTGAAGAGCAGAATTAGCTGCATCAGCTGATGTATAACTAACAAATCCAAACCCTCGAGATCTACCAGAATCACGATCAGTGATAACTCTAACTGCAAAAATCAAAACCCTAATGATATCAGTAAAATCTATTTATAGCATTAAAATTCTGATCTTGATAGATTTTATAATTTATATTTTATACCATCTATCACTTCTCCATATTGCTGAAAAGCTTCTTTTAATCCCATTTCATCAGTTGCATAAGCAAGACCTGCATAGGATAATATACAAATTTGTTATTCTGGACACTGATTTGGGAAACATGTATAGATGAGATGAAAAAAACATGATGTTAAACCTCCGATGAAGAGTTTAGCAGATGACATGCTTCTGATTGACTGGAAAAGTGGTGAATTTGAAGAAGATAATCCCATATTGACATGATTGCTTCCTGATTGTTTAAGCAGATTGCCGAATCTACTAAGAAAAGCCATTTTCAGAGGAACCTGATAACAATGGAGAAATCGAAAAAAAAATTAACATATTTGGAACAAATAATGATTTTAAGCCTCTACATCTTCCTTGAAGAGCAGGATCATAGAACAGAGGCAATAAATACAAAGTACGACTGAAACCCTATCATTTCTGCAACTAAATCACATCACGGATGCTCTTTTACTAAACCCTAGAGTCGATACTCCACTCATGTATCGATTCACGAGAAGCAGAGCAAAGAAATATTGGAGTGAAATTCATTCCACACGCGGATTAAGCGAGAGGGGATTTAACACTAGTAAAAAAAAAAAAATCTTTGTTGACCCAAAACCCTAATCGAAACAAGATTTATGAAATACAGATGGAATCAATAATGTAAGACCACATAGTCGATTTATGACTGATGAAAGAGGAATTAAAACTTACGATAATTAGGGTTTACAGTGACGACGAACGTTACCACCGGTGGCGCTGTTGCCACTTCGTGCTTTCACCGCAAGTAAATATACGGAGAGGGATGTTTGCACGTGAAATGCACATCCTACGTCCATTTCTTTTAGAAAGAAGACATTTATTTTTGGGAAATTGTTATAAAAGATATTTTTAATAAAAATAATTAAGGCCATAAATGAATTAAACGTTCAAAGAATTGTTCATGAACTGTTCCGCGGGAAGTTCATTTATTTAATAAATGAACGAACATGAATATAAATTCGCGTTCGTTTAGTTAAACGAACGAACATGAACAATGATTTCGTTCGTTTAATTATGTTTGTTAATGTTCGTTTACGTTTGTTCATATAAGTTTTTTTTTTATCTTCGTATATGTTTAATTGTGTTTCATTATATTACTATATTTTATGTTCATATATGTTTGTTTATCTTTGTTCGTTTATGTTCGTTTAGCATGTTCACGAACATAAACGAATGAGCATGAACAATATAATTTGTCAAACAAACGAACATAAATAAGAAAACCCGTTCGTTTAACCATTCGTGTTCGTTCATTTGTTTGGTTAACGGCGCAGCTTGTTGCCCATTTGCCTTCGATCGATATGTATTAAACTTTTGGTATTACAAAAAAAAAATGGTTAACTTAAACAAACGAACATGAACAATCCTCGTTCGTGTTCGTTCGGTTCGTTTACAACCCTAAAAATAACCAATGTTTTTAAAATTTGGAAAAATAACCATAAGGATATCCAGAAAAACACTATTCATTTCGGACGCGGTAGGTAGGCCGTGAGATTCGATTTGAGAACATGTGTGCGTATATTTTCGGACTAACATGGTCAATTTCAGACCACCCTAGTCATAACCGTACATATAGCTCTAACAGTCTACATTGCATATCGTATCCCGGACATTCTGGAAAACAAAAGCTAGATTTTCCTTCAATATATAACATGTGTATTCCAACTTTAGAACCAAATTTTGTAATTGTGTTGTTTTATAATTGATTTCAAGATAAGTTTCTCAAACAATGTTTACGAAGAAAGTTCGTCCAACTTGCATGTTTACATGCATAACTTTGGGAGGACAAACCCCCATAGTTCTGCAACATAAAACTGATGTTATTGATCATTTTCAATTTTGTATTGTGGCTATTAGATGTGTAGTAAAATAACTTTATTCCAAATTTTAATTGTTTATTAATATTTTGAATGTTTTTACAATTAGTTGTTTTATTTTGCCATAAAAAATCAACTTCATATATTCATAGGTTGTGTGTTGTTTGTCATATTTATAGGTAATGTCCCTCTAATATGGGAATACCTACAAACAATGTCATAACAGTTACTATTGAAGAAAACAACCAAACCTTGCTTATATCGTTTTGTGTAGGTGTGATAAATATTGCCGACTCTTGTATCTTGTTTCTAATGAGGTTGAAGAAAGGTCTCAGGGATGTTGGGAAGTATCGTTCATAACCAATATAAACAATGTGATAACTTCTTCCCTAGGCCATGTATTCTATGATTCTTATTATGGGTATTGTTGTAAGAGTATGGCATTGGAGACGCGCTCAAGATTTGTTCAAAATAGAACATTTGAAACTTTGCTTTGGCATACATGCAAATTATATACTATGTGTGATTTGGAAGAAACATTTTGTTGGCTACCCCTTTGGCCGCGTTTGATTTGCTTGACAACATCGGTCATGCAAAATGGGCAAGACACTATTTACCTCATATTCGTTGGAATGTACTCAACATTGATATTCCATAATTCATCCAAATATTATTTGTTCATGAATGCGGTTTACTAATAACAACACTCATTGAGGGAACCCGAGAGTACATTTAACAAAAATAATTCCAACATGGTGATATGGGAGTTAAAATATTGTATAAATATTAAAATGTTATTTATTTGCAAAATGACCAAAATCATAATGTTTATTTAGGGGGTTTATTGGCGTACTCACTCTGTATGCTTTCCAAGCTCTAAGGTTTGGGTGTAACCCATTAGAGGCATCATACTTTTGGTGCTTGCTTTCCAAGATCTACAAAGGAAGGGATTGAAGCAATTGTTTACTATAACAATTCAAAGGTATGTAACCCTAAACCTTGCATTTTCGATTACAGTAGGGTTCATATTAGTTTTGTTATTCATTGTATGTTGCCTTCAAAATGTTATGACATATATCCTTATAAGTTTCATGTGCCCTTAAATGTTAAGTAATTTTCCGCATTCACATGTTTTTATACCATTCCCATTCCTTCACCATCCTCTGTTTTTGTTACATTAACTCCGATGATTAAAAAAAAAACCAACACCATTGATATATTCAACACAACACCATCAGCACTACAAGTTGAATTAGATTTGTAAAACAAAAATCATTTGATTTCAAATCCATAAAAAAGAAAACCGATTCCAAAATACAAAAACAATTTCCAAATATTCCAACCCTTTTTGCATTCGTGAGGTCCGACTTCAGTTTTGGTTTCATTAAAAAAGAAATCGAATGTGTGGGGTTGACTTTAGTTCCAATTTTAATAGGAGATTTTGAGCCAGATTGTGGAGATGGTATCGTTGGAGGTGTCCATCTTCAAATTTTACACGTCGAAATTTCATCGAAGGTGAAGATGAAGGTGTTGTCAGTGTCATGTACTTGAGGTGGGTTGTGCGTGTTGTCGGTTGAGAGGAGAAAAGAGACAAATGATGGTTAGATTATTTGCAGGTTTAGGCTAAAAGGGGGAAGATGATCGAAAGGAGGATTGGGCAACGTCTT